TTACACGATTTAGCTCAACCAATCAGATTAATCATGTGGTTTTACCGGGCGTGTATAGAGAACTGTGCTAGTTTTCCAGTAGGCATGTTTAGATTAATTAGTTTTTGGCGTAATAATACAGAAAACATAATAGCTAATTTTTTCGACCATTTTAAGATTTGAATATTTTTTCAGGGGGGGGGGCTCAAATCGAAAAAATGTATTGGAAATACCCCCCTGAAATTACTTTTTTAACCCCTTAAAGTATTTGCACATCATTATGAAACACCCTGTACATATAAGGTATGTATGTATGTATATTCTTAAATTTGACTATCCAAATTTAATAACAAACTAAGAAGTTATACCAAAAATCGATTTTCAGCTCTACTACAAAAGATTATAACTCGGGTGAGCCAGAAAAAAAATTATATAAACTTGTACTATTTTTACAAGCCCTACCCAACTTACAATTAGAAAGAAACTAAGAAATTTCCGACCTAACAAAAATACAAGACATTTTTTCAGAATTTTTTTTTTTATTTTTCAACACAGTCTCCGTGTGACTCTACACACTTCTCCCAGCGATGCTCCCATCACTGTAACCCGTCCAAATAGTACTCTGCGTTTTTCTCTGCAAAATAATTGTTCACGAAGGTGATTGCCTCTTCATTTGACGAAAATCTCTGTCCTCCGAGCGCAATTTTTAGATGAGGGAACAAAAAGAAGTCGCTTGGGGCTAGATCTGGTGAGTAAGGCGGATGGTCAAGCAGTTCAAACCGTAATTCGTGGATTTTCGCCATGGCAACCGCTGAGGTGTGAGACGGTGCGTTGTCTTGGTGAAACAGGATTTTCTTTTTCTGCAAATGTGGCCGTTTTTCCGCAAGTTCTGCCTTCAGCTTGTCAAGTAATGATGCGTAGTATGCTCCTGTAATGGTTTTTCCTTTTTGAAGATAATCGATTAAAATAACTCCATGACTATCCCAAAAAACAGTCGCCATCACTTTCCCAGCCGAAAAAACAGTTTTTGCTTTTTTTGGAGCCGGTTCCCCCTTTGCAGTCCACTGTTTGGACTGTATTTTTGTTTCGGGCGTATAATGGTGTATCCAAGTTTCATCTACATTAATTAATCGGCGCCAAAACTCGGACTTATTGCGCCTAAACTGCGCCAACAGAGTGTTGGAAATGTTCATTTGAACACGTTTTTGGTCTAACGTGAGCAAACGCGGCACTCAACGCGCGTACAACTTTCTCATGTTTAAATGTTGATTTAATATGTGACAAACATGTTCTTTTGACATGTTCATAACCTCTGCTATCTCTCTCACTTTAATTCGGCGGTCGACTAGCACCATTTGGTGAACTTTGGCGATGTTTTCGTCGGTAGTTGCAGTTTTTGGACGTCCCGTGCAGAGTCCCCATACACAGAATCCAACTCATCTTTGATTTGCGTAGGCGTATTGCCTTTCAAAAACAAATATTTAATGACAGCTCGATACTCGATTTTGTCCATTTTCATAAAAACACTCACATCAACTCACTCAAACGACTGTTACATAACAACTGCGCGTCCAAAATGGCTGAAACTTTGGTGAGTAACTGTCAACAGATGAACAACGAAATTCACTAGCTTTTATTTACGAGTGTTGCCATCTTCGTGTTGAGGTCGGAAACTTTTCAGACCACCCTCGTACATGTCTAGTATTTTATATAATTCACTCTTTTCGTTTTTAACTTTTTTAACTGTTTCTAAATTGAGAATTTTTAAGAGCACATATAAATGAAATTCACATAAATTATGCAGTCAATTGCTTAACAATGAGAATTATCCTTGCCTTTTTTTTTCGAAAAGTTAACAATTTGTAAAACGAAATTGCACACCGGTTAAATACACAAACTTAAATTCGTATCACGTTCGTTTCGTCGAATTTCCATCTCTATACGTAATTAAACGCTAATGGACCACATTAGACGTGCAAATTGGCGCTTCGAAATCCCCATTACATTTAATAGGTTGTTTGTTGTGCCAAAGGGCGGGAATTTAAAAATATGTCTTCAAACAGTGGCTCGTATACATTACATTATTCATTTTGTCAAGGACCGAAAGAATCGCGGTTTCAGGGGGAAATAAAGTATTATAAAAGTTGACACACAGTGCTCTCGGTGATGCAAAGTCTGGAAAGTCGATAATTCTTTCTAAGCCCGTGGTAGAAAAATATTTGAATAGCCCGAATGCAATTCGAGCGTTCATTAATCACAGTTGACTCATAAAATTCATATAAAATCGGGATTTAACTGCATTTGTAGAACTTTTGTTGAAAACAGTATTTGAATTAGGTGAAATGAAAATATTTTCTTATTACTTACTACTTTATTACATTTTATAAAGATATAAATCCCTCGCCGATTTTAAAGATAAAAGTTAATTAAATTGTCTCAATTTTTTTGTTAAAGTAACTGATAAATTTAATTATAAAATAATTGAATTTTAATATTAAAATGTAGATTTTTAATTAAATTTCTAATGTATTTTTTGTTTTATTCAGGAAATTTCGAAGTATGTATATTTAGAGTTGCTGATTTATTATTACTCTTTACTATAACGAAAAAATTAAAAATACGAAAAATTAAACTGAAGGGTGTATTTTCGTTTCAGGGAAAAACAATAAGATTAATACTGTATATGTAATATGTATACAGTATAAGTATAGTACATACATGATGTTTTTTAACTAGAAATTTTCTGCTTTTATGAAGAAAACACAGATCACTGAGCAGACCTGCCTAAAAAGATTTTCGTAATTATTTATTATCACTGCTTTAATTCACATGAGATATCACTCCTATTTTCATAATAGAATCATTTACTTTGGTGAAAATCCATACAATATGTTCCAGAAATGTTAAGCTGAAATTTTTTGTGTATCGAAATTATAGAACCAATTATTGTGCTTTTACCTTTATGGTTTCTATATAAACGTTGTACTAATGCAGAGACCAGTAATTTTTTTTTTGGAACAGTAATTTTATTTCCTTCATGTTGTCAATTAAATTTCGGTAAAAGATAAAGATTATAGTACGCGAAGCACATAGGCTCAATCTATCGCGCTGACTTCCACTATGCCATTCAAATGGCTACTACGGTGGAAGCGACCTGCTAAAATTTGCCAGGTACTTTATTGCACGAATGTCGCCTACAGAGGGTGAAACACAATGTAAGTCGTCAGTGCCGCGAAAAACAACTACTCCGAGGGCTATTTGCCCCTACCGGCATTGAATTACATTCGCGACACCCAGTACAGATAAAGATTATATTAAAATTTTGTTCCATCGATTGTGATTAGTGTAACTTTTCACGAAATTATTTTCAACCTATCAGCAATGGCATTACCTCGAGAGTAGACGTAACGGTTTGTCATTGTTTATTGTAAACAAATCATTAATATTGGTGACGCTAAGATTTAGGGATTCGTGCAATGTTATTGGCTAAGCTCGGTGGTCACGTGGCTTGTAAACATTTATGAAGGCTCTGTTCATCTAGTACCTACGTGATCATATATTGTGTACTTCTTTTTGTACATAAAATGACAAATAAAGTGACGAAATAAGTGCTGCAGGTTTTAATAAAATTTTGAAAAAAAAAATTAAAAATATAGGAAATTACCCTATTCAGTGCATGCTGTTAGAGGCGGGCCTTTTCATAAGAGTTTAGTGTGACAATACTTATTTATGCTTAAAAATTTGGGCAAGCAATTTAGAATATTTTGAGATGTGACGTTATGTTTAATGAACTAAATTTTCATAAAAATGTAACAATTAAATACATAAATAGGCATTAATGTATTTCATTTATATTCTATTTGCAGGAGTGACCATGTTGAGAAAATTCTCAATATACATATATAATGAAGGTTGGTTACATAAAATTATCGTTATTAAAAAATTAAACATGGGCGCGTAAAGAAGCAATACCATATCTTTTACTCTAATGAGTTTTGTTTTATTTTTTAATATTTGCACCAAATTATAATACTTGATTATTCAATGAACGAGTTTAACTCATTCACACTAATAAAAGCATTATTAAGTACTAGCCAATAGAAAAATTAAATGTCCATGTATTTTACTAATCATCTGAATCACCATATTATAGGCATCTACCTTTGACAATTTGATGAACTATCCAAATGAATTGGCACCTATATTGAATATGCAAGTTTTTGCTTTAAATTATCGTCATTTTTAATAACAATTTATTTATTTTTGTAAACTGATATAAATAATACGTATTATTTAATGAAGTAAACAAAACAAAAAACAACAACAAGTATATGTATACCTACATATAAGACTGAAGAGAAAATAAACCGAAAAAAATTGGTATAGTATTCCCTAAATGCGTTTATTAATCCTCTTAATTAATCTTAGTCCCCTTAAATTAATACCCAAATGAGAAAATACCAAGAAACATTAATTATTATGTAAAAAAAGGTCACAAAAAAAACATAAATTGGAAAAGCCAGTCACTGTCGTCACTTTCCTTGAAGAAGTCATGGTAGAAATATTGAACCTGTTTTAAAGATATCTAAGTTGAAAAAATATGTTTATATGCAATATTTTTTAACTTAGAAAACGAGCACTTTAAGACATGCCTAAAGGTATAGGAGGTTTCCTTGAAATTTAATGACAAATTACCTTGTTCAGTTATTCAGTTCAGTAATTTTTATTTGAATTCATTTTTAACTAGGCTAATAACGAAAACGCAGTACCAAATAAACCACGCTTACATTTTTATTGACACAGATTTACAAATTTTAAATAAACAGCCACCAGTCCATTTAGAAACCGGGAAGTAATTGGATAAAACACATACAAATTTCGCTTCATTAAATTCAGGCCAACAGCGTCGACAGGACAAAATAAAAAACGTGCATAAATCCCAAAAAATACACAAAAAGCCGCGGTCCGCCCGAAACACGGCCTAGCTTTTAATAAATACGTGGCAACGCTAATCTACTTACTGGAAAAAGGGGCGCCCCATTCACGCACACACTCTCAGCGAATCTGACCCTAGATGGTTTGCTTTTAAGTCTCGCCCTCTTGCTGGCCGACAGCAGGGTTGATTTTCTAGCGCCCTGCTGTTCCGCCGGCTGGCACACCACCAAATTCACAGTCTTCGAACAGGCTCGCACCAAGGAAATCACGTGCTCCCTGGGCGCCGACTTGACGTCTTCGCCGTTCACAGACAGGATTTGGTCACCGGGCAGCAACTGAAAATACAAAAAAAAATGATTATACTTAGTTGAAACGTCACATACCAATCATTTTTATTCAGAACAGGACCGTCGTTGTGTGTTTAAAACTGATTTTCACTTAGCGGATAAAACAGCAATAAAATCTCGATTTCAACTAAACTGACACTTTTTAAAAACAGTTCTTAAATTCTTTTTACAAATTCGAGTTGCAGGCGACTGTTTATGTTTTGTTTTCGAAATCCTGTTCGAAGGGTTTCCACGTTTTTGTGAACAGTATCGACTTATTGGAAATGTTAAGTCTGTTCTTTTTATTATTTTAATAAGATGTAGACCGACACTGGTCGATCGTTTTTACTTGACTTTAACATAATTATACAGCTGCCTGAATGCAACTGTTTTTCAGAAAAATTCTTATTATACGGTAAATAAGAGTCCTATGAATGAGTTCTTAACTTTTCGGCTATTAAATACTATCTCACCTACTATTGGTGATTGCGTGATAATTTATTGAACGCAGTATGAACCACGCACAAGCAAAAATTGAATAGTCGTCATAATTTAGAATGGTTTAAAATTAGTTGCCTAAATGTTTTGAAAAATCTGTCATATGGTTTATGCAGACGGAGCACCACCACGTTTTACTTTAAGACTGGCGTTTTATAGACAAGAAATCGCACTTTTAATAAGAAAATGATAGAACAAGTAGATCCATCCAGGAAGCGATTTGGCGTAATGCTACATTTGAGCAACTTGGAAGATCACGAAGAACATGTAAACATCAGAAAATGTATCTCTCCTATTTTATCCAGCAAATTTGTAATGCATGTGCTAATAGTTTCCTAAAAGCATTCTGCGGGGTGTGACTATGTTTGTGTACGAGATTTTTGTGTACGTTCAACAGGTGTGCAAAATTTAGGAAACGTAAGATAAACATACTAGGTAAAAGTATGTTTTTTTCTTCCTTATTTTGAATGTATTGTCAGTTGTCTTATACCCTGAAGAAAGGGTATAAGAAAACTATAACTGGTACACTGAAGAAATATTGTTTCTCACTTGCTTAGATTTTCTAAAATGCTGGACAAAAAATTTCCCATATAATCGGCCTCCTTAAACATCATAACCATTTGAATGAGCATTTTCAAAGTAGATGGATCTGTGGAGCAAAGGAAACTCCCGAGCGTTGGCCACTCCGCTCACCGAATCTAACACCGTTGGATTATTTTCTATGCGGAACTTTATAATCTACATCTGCAAACACCGAGGAAAAGTTGTGGAAATGAATACAACATGGTGCCCATATTTTTTGGACACGTGCAGATATCATGAAAAGAGTTCAATTCAAAGTTCATCGACGAATTAACTTTTATGTCCAAGGAAACGGGGGTCATTTTGAACGTCTACTTTAAGTAAACTGAATTAACTTATCCCAGTTTTTCTTTTTCGTAATATCCGAAAAACGGTTGTTTTAAAGAAAACGTTGTAGAATAAGAATTCTTTATTAATAACAGGGTAGAAAGAAGTTATAGTTTTTGTAGTAACTGTAAGGACAAATACAATACAAATCAATTAAAAAACAATAAGATATCTGTATAGGCATTTTCCTGCGATTAAAACCGGTGGACTGTAGATTTCCGCTTAAGCTACTAAGCACCATTGTTGGTACTGCCAATACAAAAACATAATAAAACGTGACAGAATTGCCCAAAATAGATACAATACAAGATATAATAATTTCCTCATTTTGAGATTATTTTGATAAATTCTAATAAAGTATAACAAACTAAGAATTGTTGTATTATTGACTTTAAATATTTCATATTTTGATTTTATATAGGTAAACTTTCATTTACGGAAACCATCCTTATAATGAGAAGGAAACTACCACCAGAAATTAATAAGTTACTTTTTTTACTTTCTTTAAATAATGTTTTATACAGTCTGTTAATTGAAATAAAGTACTTGAAGTGATTGACTTATCGCTAGTATTTTTATACAATTTTCATCTTTCATTTCCGGGTCATTTAATTAACGTACATAACAGGTAAATATTTCAAAGTGAGCAAGAACTTTGTCGCCACGAGTAAATAGTGTTCTACCAGTTCAAAGTTACACGGTTTGCATACTTCACTGGCAAACTCTAATTAGGAACGTCACAAAGTAATTACCGTTGTTAAGAGTTTCTCTAGTTTATCTTTTAGCTATTAGGAGGGTAACCTCGAGGTGAGGCAAAGTTTGACGGAAGTGGAAAATGAGACAGATTAAAGGTTATTTTAATATTTATTTATAAGATTTAGGACACTGTAATTTAGGCCTTAAGTTTGATTAATTTTTAATGAATATTTATTTGTAATTAATTTGTTATAAATAATTCTACTTATATGTTCATGTGCAAGCTACTTGAAATCGTGTTAAGAAGGAAATATCAAATTTAAAATAATAATTCATGATTTTTTTAATAGAAAACTTGTTGAGCACTACACTGATAAAAATTGTGGAAAATCACATAGGCTATTTTACATATTTGTAATGGTTTTTATAAACGAAAAATGTAAATGAATTGATATCCTGTGTAATTTTACATAATTTTAACATAATTTATCTGTTGTAAACGGGAGATCAACTATGCAATATTGTCGGTGTTAGGTACCCATATATCTTAAACCTAACTTTTATACAGGGTGTGGCGTGTATAATCTATAAAAATTAAACTACAGCTTCCTAACGATATTTGTAATAGAAACGACTTATACGAAGCATTTTTGCGTTTTTTTTTTTTCGTAAATTAAAGTTCAATTATGGATCAAAATATTTTCTGTGGAACGGTCCTGTCCGTGCGCTGTACGATGAGTTGCGTGCTGTTGACCAGCCGCGTAAACAAGTTGTCGTTGAAAGATAGAAAGATACTTCTCAATTTTTGGGAAATTTTTCAATGCAAAAGTACAAACTAAGAAAAATAGATATTTAGATATAACCAGCCACGTAAACAAGTCGTCATTGAAAGATAGAAAGATACTTCTCAATTTTTGGGAAATTTTTCAATGCAAAAGTACAAACTAAGAAAAATAGATATTTACCGTAAGCATCGGTAGTTGCCAACTGCGTGCACTAAACAAACTCCATTAAGATATGGAACAAAATGAAATAAAACTTGCCATTTCTAGAGTTGAATTTGATCCCCATTAGCGCGGGTACAGGCATGGCACCGAGGCACCCAATTTTGGCGAACATTTTCCCAAATTCCAGGTATTCCCCTAATTGTGTCAGCAGCTTCAAGTATACGGTTCAGCAATTCTTCCACCGGAGCAATTGTATTGTAAACCAATGATTTCAAGTGACTCCAAAGTCCATTGGAGTCTGATCGGGTGACCGAGGTGGCCACGGCACAGGACGAAAGCGTTCAATCCATTGCTGAGGAAACATTTAATTCAAAAGTGTCGAGTACTGTGTGGAGAAGAGAAGAGAACTTGTAATGCCACATCGTCCAATAATTCAGGCAACCGGTTCTCCAAAAAGTCAGCATATGTTGGTCCATTTAGTCGTCCTTCAAAGAAATAGGGACCCACAAGTACATTGCCTATTATGCCAGCCCAAACATTTACAGAGAACCGATGTTGAAAATGAGTTACTCTAATCGCGTGAGGATTTTCATTGGCCCATATCATCACGGGTAAATGTCGCCTCATCTGTTACACAAACGTAAGCAGGAAAGTCTACTTGATTGACACATTACCGTAAAAACCATTTGTAAAACCCACTCGTTGATCACAATCCGGAGGTAAAATCTGTTGAACTGGTTGAAGATGATAGGTGTGAACAGCTGGCGCCTTAACATGCGCTGTACGGTACGAGATGAGGTTCCTAATTGTTGGGTCTTTGTCAAGGTTTTCCAACACTGTATCTTCAACATTAAGGTTCATTTGCTGATCACGTCCTTCTCCTCGAGGAATAACACTTCCCGTATCTCGCGGCCGTTGAACGCACCGTAGGATTGTATTTTTTGCACATGGAGGTGACGTTGTGGCCATCGTTCCCGTTACAACATAGGTGTCGCCGCGAGCGCATATTCTCCGGCTGCACCATACACTAACACCATATCGACACGTTCGGAAATAGTAAATGCATTGTTTTCTCAGTTCATTGTAAAACTAGTTTGTGCACAAACCAAAAAATTAAGCAAAGTAAGAAAAAATAATCTCGTTTTTAATGTAATCGGCACGCTATTCTTATTTTTTACTTCTTTATAAAAATTACACTGTCACTATCGTGGAATTATAAAATAAAAACTTGTGTCTGGAATCTTTCACTTTTTGACACTGATGGGTCGATGGACGATGCTTAATATTTAATCATTAAGTGAATAATGAATTCAATACAAATATAAAATCAGTTGACTGCACAAATTTTTTGACAATGTAACCTAACCTTCTTTTAGTATTACTAGTATTAGATTATACTGACTTTAATTATAAGGTTGCATCTTGGGTCGCATAAAATCATTTCCAAAGTTTTTAATAAATAATACAGGGTCGGCCTTCATTTTCGTTGAATAAATGGACTTGAATTTACAAAAAAATATGCGAAGATTGAACTTTTTCGTATATGACTTTCCTATAACAAATATCATCAGGAAGCTGTAGTTCAATTTTTATAGATTATACACGCCACACGCTGTATGAAACAGGAAGGAAAAGGTTAAACAAATAAATATTTTTTGAGAAGATATGTCAAAACATTCAATGTTGCAAGTTGCGGTAAAGTCAATGCACGTGATAATCATTTTGCATTAGTGGGAAATGTTTTATTTTATTCAAAGAAAATTTGTAAAAAATCAAAATGGAAAGATTGTGACAGCATTAGCTTGACAGATCGAGTAGTTTATTAACAGGTTCACTTTTAAAATAGTGCAATATTAGACTTTATAATAAATAAGTATTTAACTCGATGAAATTAATTTTTAGGGTTTTCTTTATGTTAAAATTAAAATTTGCTTTACGGTTACATGGATATTTTAATTTTAATTTATTTTTAAAAATAATTACTATTTCTACTAAAATTGAAGTGCATTAAAATTAAATTTTTGACAAACTCAAAATTTACTCGTACGCGCCTGCATAAATGATTACGTTTCATGTGGACATCGATTGTCAAAATGTATATGTGGGTGAATGGTCACTGGATTCATTTATATCTCAAATTCTACCCAAAGTTACAGTCGGTACGATATTTGTTGAGATAGAATTCCAAGAAGACCGCTGCGTCACTTTCTTGGAATTAACCGCATTCACAACCGAGGTAGAAAGACATTGGCGGAAAATTTCAAGGCACGCCCCTACCGCGGTAAATTGTTATAGTAGTTCCGATAACAGAACTTATTGGCTTATTCTTTTCTTGCAGTTCTCAACAAATATCGTACGGACTGTAAAATATAAGTACATATTTAAGGTTCAGCCTGTAAACTTATTTTATCCAATTTTGATAAACAAAATTTTGTGAATTTGAACGATACTTTGTTTGAATTATTCAATGAATAACTAGTTGTTTTTTATAAAACAATAAACAATTTTTAATTTTCATTTTTATAAGAATGTATGAAAATAATGTTTCTTGAAATATAATTAATACTTCACTCAATTCCCTATCTAGTTTTTGCAATAAAAAGTCAGAGTTGTTCTGCTTTAGTACACAGAGTGTACATTTACATTACTTGAGGCTGCTTATCCTATTTTCAGCACGTTACATTATAATTTGTTCAAATTTTCCAATAAACGAATTACTTTCTAATTTATGGACATGATATTATTCCTCATAAATTAATTTATCAATAAATAAATAAATACCTACAATAATTAATCAATTAAATTAATTTTAGCTGAATAACGAAACGGTAAAATAATCTGTTTCTGGTTTCATAAAACAAAATAAATCAAACCCTCTTATATCGATTGCCTGCAAAAAGAAGACGGAGATACAAACCACGCTCGAGCTAGTTCATTATTTAGAACTCGATGATATTGGAAATATATCTATAATTCTCTCACCATCTGGTTACATAATTATTATTAATTCCGTTTATATTTAGAACCTTGGAGGTGGCATTTCTCGATCAAATTAATTGATTATATAGTTTAATAGTCTCAACACATAATTAGTTGTAATGGCTGTTTTCCACTAAACGAACAGTTGAGTTTATGTCCTGTTTGAGTTTTCTAGAACCTGAAAAACAAAAACAAAACTGAAACAAAACCAAAACTCTTGTTTCCATCAAGCGGGCTACACTTTGTTCGAGTTTTGTTTTTGTTTTCGGTCCTTTTTCACTGGTTGTCGCGAGGAAGTCAGAACACATTTTTCCAATAACCAACCAACATATTTAGAGAAGATTTTTTTATTCTTAGTTATGGCTGGTTTATACTGAAGTCCTTGGAAAAAAAGTGTCTACAGAGTTTCCCACCTCGAACTCCATCGATGGATATCTGGGAAACCACTTTAAGGGTTTTTTTTGAAATTGTGATGGTGTGATACGGATCGTGGGGCCCACCAAGTTAAAATATTTTCAAGGTCATTGTACTTTCGGTTATACCGGAAGTCGATACTAACTTTCTTATTTTAAATGGAACCCCCTGTATATTATTGCATTTTTGGAAACATCATCCATTTTTAAGTTGAAAACATATAGCACACTCCATACTTAGGATTGACCGTTTCCGAGATATTTCGATTTTTAAACAAAAATTGACAGATGCAGACTATCAGCAAAATTTAGTTTTCCCGGTTTATTTTTTGTGCAAATCGGACATTTGGTAGAGGAAGACCTACTTTATCGAATTTGACATGAAAATTTTCCAGTTTTTATACTGGGTGGTCAAAAAAATTTATCGAATATGAAGTTCAGAATAAGTATGTGGAAAACTCGAAATTTTTAAATGGAACCGCCTAATTTTTTGCAATTATATACAGGGGGTTCCATTCAAAATAAGAATGTTAGTATCAACTTCCGGTATAACCGGAAATACGATGACCTTGAAAATATTTTAGCTTGGTAGACTCCACAGTTCGTATCACATCATCACAATTTCGAAAAAAAATCCTTCGAGCGGTTTTCCAGATATCCATCGATGGAGTTCGTGGTATATGTACGGTTAAAGTGTTTACTTGGTTACCTAGTCAAGTAAACACTTTAACCGTACACATATATATTTTTTAATAGCTATAATTCATTAATGATTAAAATATTGTTTTTGGGAAGAAGAAAACGCCAACATAGATATTGGGTTGGATCACTTAAATAGAAAACACAACACGACCGTTTCCACTAAACAGACTTGAGTTTCAAAACACGTCGAAACCTTTTGATGTGACCGCTTTCGAGCGGGACCCGAAAAACAAAAACACGCCAGTCTTCAAAATGTTTGCGAAAAGTTACAGTTTTGTTTTATTCGACACAAGTTTGTGTTTTGTTTTTATTTTGTCCGTTTAGTGAAAAACCGCCTTTTTGTAGCGGGACCCGAAAAACAAAACTCCAACTGTTGCAAACACGTCAGTCTTCAAAAAGTTTGCGAAAAGTTACAGTTCTGTTTTATTCGACACAAGATTGTTTTTGTTTTTGTTTTGTCCGTTTAGTGGAAAACCGCCTTAAGGTGGATTATTTGTCTGTATTTTCTGTGTATTATTATTTCTGTACATAATGTTCTGTCTTATTATCAAAAGAAAAACAAGACATTCAGACTATTAATAGGTGCATTACTTTAACATCCACTATTTATCAAGACCTAACTTCCACTTAAAAATAAATCGCCGAATCTCCAGAGAAATCATATGTGATACTAACCTTATCAACACTGGGTCCTCCTTCAGTTACAAATCTAACAATGACGGGTTTTTCGGAACCTGCCACAAATCCGAAGCCTAAGACTGGTGACCTTTCCAGAGTGACCGCCCTTGGTTCAGGCCTAGGAGCTGGTTCTAGATTTTTTATTACTGGAGTCTCGTACGTTGTTGTTTTGTTGACATGGCTGAAACAATTTAGAGAAATATGTAATTTCCTCTATAATTTGTAAGAAAAACTAAAAATAAATTATTAAGTTCATCATTTTCCAAAGGTTGCTACTTTTCAAATGGTATTTTAAAGTCTTCAGAATATAAACCTTATGAAATGAGGTGTCCACTCCATCACTAGATCAGCATTTTGGGATTGTGGGAAAAAGATAAACTTATATTTATGACAAAATAAAAATAATTTAATAACTAATGTAATTTCGAGCCAAACCAGAATAGGTTTCATAACAAAAAACTAATTCTTTAGTAATGACAACTTTTTAAAGGAACTTTCAGAGTCAACAGAGTCTCACTTTGTTGTAGATGTAGTCAGATTTTACAACGATTACTGTAATTCTTACTGTAATCAAATGCGTGAACATTAAATACCAGCGATCATTTTACTCGCTTACAAGATGCGGGTTTAGAAGGAACTGCTACGAAAATACTGTCGTTAAGTTCTTTAATAAAAATCCATAATAATAGGGCGAATCAAATATAAACGAAACTCAGTTTTACTTTAAAACTCTTGTAAAACAAGATTCTGTAAGTCTGTTGCACGATAACTAATTAACACCTGTTCTTAATAAAAATTGGAGAAATTGAAAAATTGTGCACACCAGTAAAGAAAAATTTTGAAATTCGGGTGAAAAAATATTTCGTATAAAATAATGCATATAGATGTGTGTTCTTATTATGTATTAATGACTATTGTCCATAAATCTTAAACCATAGTTCCTCAAAATCTGAAAAATTTTCTGAATAATTTGGCAATGTCCCAATCTAATAAAGTAATAAAGTAATTAATCGCCAAGATATTAATTATGTCAAATGCAAAAATATAGTGTTTTATTAAAAAAAAGACATTATGACCATCATGCTTTCATACATCATTCGGTGGTTTCAAAATATTTTTTATTTTTTTCTCTCACCTTCATTTTAATATTTTTTATCTCGAATGCCTATGTCGGAGTACCTACTATGGCACATTAAAGTACCTAAATTTGATTAGCCCCATATATTATTATCGCATTTGATACTTCTGGATGTTCAATTAGTTATATTTTTAAAATATATTGTTTATATTTTTTTATTTGAAAAATATAAATACAGGGTGTACCAAAATGAATATCGGGGATTTAAAGCTTTGTAGAAGTTATTACGGTTAACTTACAATTACAAAATATACATCAAATGAACGAGCAACTCAAACACTTTCCTCAATTACACGAAGCTGAACCAGAGAACTTTATTTGACAGCAAGATGGTGCGCCCCCTCATTGGCATGCCTTCGTACGCGATTGGTTAAACAACGTTGTTCCCGACAGGTGGATTGGTCGCAAGGGGCCAGATGACAGAGCTTGTTTCGCATGGCCTCCAGGTTCACCAGATCTGACGCCATGCGATCGGATGTATGTGCCTCCGCTACCCAGTTGACCTAAACGACCTACGACATAGGATTGAAGCTGCAGTTGCGTCAATTACTCCAGACACACTGAGCAAGGTTTGGGACGAACTCGGCTATCGACTCGATGTGTGCCGTGTGACGGAGGGTGCTCACATTGAACACTTGTAGGACAAACTGTTTGAGTTGCTCGTTCATTTGATGTATAATTTGTAATAAAACCCCGATATTCATTTTGGTACGCCCTGTATATTACATATTTTCTGAATAGTTTTGTCTAGATACGAATTTTTAATTCATTTAAAGTACATTGTTTTTTTGGGTTGTTGTGCCGTGAATTATGTCCCTGGCCACGGCCAGTTACAAAAGATTGCACTTTCTTAGCCTTAGCTATGAATATTTGGCCTACCCTTGTTGTTCTCGAGCTACACTCTGGGGGGGGGGCGGACTATCAGAATGCCTGGACCAACCCTAATGTTCATTTCGGTTCTGGTAGTTAGTTCTAAGGCCACTACAGTAGCAGCCTAAAACCAACAATAAGAACCGAAATAACATTATGGCGGGCCTAGGGGTTATGATAATGGGTTCACCTCCGCAGAGGCTAGCCCGAGAATAAGAAGGGAAAGTAAAAAACCACACTGCGCTTTCCGTAGAGCATTCTTTTTACCTCTTTATGCTCTGGACTTATTGATTACTACTTATTTCCACGAAGCAAATCAATAGTTTTGGAGCAACAAAATATTTTAAAAAAAGCAACTATTCTGCGGATTAAATTTCTGACCATCATTGAATTACATCCACAATATCCTTTAGGCAGCTAAATCATTCGTGAGAATCGTCAGACAGAGTCCAGTTTCAAACTTATTAGTCCTCATCATAGGTAAAACTTCAGATGAACGGTCTATTTGGATGTATATCTACCGATATAGTTACCTACTGAACTGTTTTGATATAATTAAGATATAATATAATTTGTAGGTTACACCCACACTCAATAAAATGTGTCAAAATTGTATGATGGATCGTGAAAAATATCATAAAAATATCAAAATATCATGAAAATTCCAAAGGTGCTATAAACAATGCAGGAACCATTGGACCAAATGTGTGCAAGTAGAAAATTATTTAAAAAAACGTATTTATTATTAGCCCTTGTACTTTTTCTTTATTTCGAAGGTGTTAATCACATTCAATTTTTTTTTTAATTTATCAAATGAAGTTAATGCATTTTGAAGCCCAAAATCTAGATATACAAAAAATATTTTACCTCTTAGATAAGACATTTAACAGATGACATTGTGTGAAACAAATACTCTGAGAGCTACATGCCTCGACTAGCACCGAATTATATCAATTATTGTCTAGATATATTGTCAACACTTTTAACAATGCCATTTAAATTTTAATTTTTAATTTTTTTCTAAATGTTCTGTTAATATTTATTATCCTCAAAATGCTGAAATAATTGAGATCTATATATCATGGCTACATTTCCGTGTTGGTCTTTATCATACATGATGTCAGAACAACTACAAAATATATTTCTTTGAATGATTTTATTATTTAATGATTTTCAATTAACATCTTGATTTTTGGTATCAAAGAACTTGATTTGATAACATTTGAATGGATGTGCTGAATTGGCTTAACACCTTTAAGACGAAGGAAACTACTTTGAAAAGTTTTTATAGAAGTTTGTTACTCATTTACTTTATTGTCGAACTTCGTATTTATATTTTTTATATAAAAAAAATTGTCATTTGCAGTAGGGAACCCTGTACACGTATATTGGGTGATTCGCTCCTACATTTGGTTAGGTGAAAGCCAGCTTCATTTTTCTGCAAAACTCAATCCATTTTAACAAATACCTATTGACCGTAGCACGAATCCACTGCCACATAAAGCACGTAGACCTTTTATCAAACTCCCCTCATTTTTCTAACTCCATCCGCGCCACTCTATTGTATCCTTCGTATATAAATGCTAGGTAATTCCAATGCAACAACAAACCACAACGGCTCGTTTTTAACCTAAAAATATAGACCGGAACCCCCAATATGCTCTTTCGCCTCTGCTCTAAATGAAAAGCGCTCTATTTTTGTCTCCGCGACCGAAACAAAAAAGGGACGGGGTTTAGTTGCGTTATAAATTGTCCAGCCCTTTCCGTAAACACGACTGTAAATCACTGGTGTTTATCATCTTGATCAAATTCGCAGATTAATAACTGGGAACGAACGGTTCGCTCGGGATGATTGTTGTATACCGCACTGTAAAATGGGTCAATCGGTACCCTAAATTTACTACGTAAATTAGATTGTTTTCGGCTTTTGCCAAATATGCCGATCCTGTACGTGTATGTTGAATTGAACTTTACTAACTTATCATATTCGTTAAATAAATAATCACGTTACGTTATATTCGTTCATTTAAGAGATGTTTTATTTTATTATATTATGGTTCAATTTTTTATATTCTATGAATACTAAAGTTTGACATTTGTGTACGAAGCCAGTGGCGTTACTCAGAAATTTAAAAGTATTTTATCTATGTTAAATATACGTATTAGTTTAGTTTTACTTGGTGGCACGTAAATTGAGGATCTTAGCATATATAATATACATTTTCGGGTAAATATTGGCAGAAACTTTTTTCCACTTTGTTTTACTTTTTTGCCAGCACTACCTGTTGTTAAATTTGTAATATCTACTCAATGCACGTTTATAATCTTTCCGATCTCAATTGAAGAGCAAAGAGCTAGGCGGTATGTACCAGGTTCGGTCGCTACACGCAACTCGGCATTGAAGTATGTATTTGAAAAATTTATTCCCATATTTATTTAGCCATACCCATATACAGGTCTGGTTGCCCAGTTGAAGAATGGGCGCGCGGGCTAACGACGAACAAACACAGCCGCACTGGGCGACCGGTCATACATTTCAGTTGTCGACAAATTGCGGAAGGTGTTATAGATCATTGCGTAAAGAGGAAGCGAAAACAAAAATTTAAGAATATTGATGACATGACGAGAGACGTAATTCGGCGGACAATTTATAATGTATATAAAGAAAATTGGGGACATAAATAATAATTAACATATGTTGTTGGCCAAATGAACATTATAATAGAAATTTTCTACACATTGTATATAATTATATATATTATTTTTTTACCTTTAGCAGAAAACTTTTTTATGGACGCCTATGAAACTCATTAAATTTTATTGCTAGATTATGTTCAACTGACTTCGGAAAGACTACACCTGAATTATTAAAATGGCTTCTATAGTGGTCTCCGTCAAACACATTTATAAATAAAAATTCAACAGAACTATACTAAAATATGTCCATATCATTATTGTTCCTATCTCTAGTTATGTGTACACACTATCCACAGGGTTTTTTCACACTAAAATGAGGTTAAATAATAAACATATCCAATATGGTAGCTGTAAGAGTAATTATCTTTATGCATTCGACTTTTACACTGTTAAACATCCTCAAAAAAAGTCGTTTTACAAACACATTTTATTATTCGCAGCGTATCAAACAAATATTGAATAAACGTATTATTTTG